TTATTTTCAAGAGCCCGAGGACAGAATCTGTCCACTTCCCAGTGGAGGAGTCTCAGCACTGCTGACCCGACAAAATAAAAGGTGACGATGACCTTAATGGAATTCTAAATGCTTTTTATTAAAAAAAATCTATGCTACATGCAACTGGTTATTATCCAGTTTATTATTTGTGGGTGAATTTTCTTCAGACAATCAATTCCGATAATTCACATGACCAAGGTCATGAATGAGGGTCACAAGCAGCATAGATAGATAGAGAGACAAACAAGAAAGAAAGAACAAAGCTCTCACAATGAGAGAGACAGAGCGAGAGAGGGAGAGGGAAAGAAAGCAAGAAAGAAAAAAAGAACTATCCTCTTGACATCACTTGGAGGGTAGGGGATTCACCTTCAGTAAATTGTTGTCACATATTGTATCCTTACCAATTTCTCCACTGTGAGCTCCACTGCCTTCAGAAAACTCCAATCAAATGTAACAAGATGGATGATGTGGAAGGGGAGGAAATGTCCAACAGCCTGGAGTCACCCTCTTCCCTCAGAGGTGTGTTTGACTGAGTGCTTCTGGACAAAAAGACCCTCCAACACACAAGCCCCACTGATATCAGTCGGCCCTACAATGCTGTACACAGCAATTATTGCGGTGCGCAAATTACCTGCCACATCCACCTACAAATACAGTCACTACACTATATAGTAAATCCTGCACTTTGAGACGTCTTGATGACATGATAAGAGGATATATCAAATGCGAGGATTATTGTTATTACAATTTGTGCAAGATGAGAGCATGAAGAAAAATGTCTATCAAGGCAGAGATTCAAGCCTAGGGCTCCAGGAAGGAAATCCAGCTCTTCAGGAATTCACTGACTGACCACTGCCTCCAAGCATAAATCTCAAAGCAATGCGAGCCCACGGTGGGAGCCTGGCAATTAACATTCAGACAGTGTTTCTGTCTCTTTTCTCGATGCCAAGTAATCCAAATTCAGTATGCAGCAGTAATTTAATAGTGCAACATTACCATCCCATTTGTAGAAACCAGCTTCATAATCTGAACCTTTAATATATACGAGAGCTTTGGGATGTTAAAAGAGGTTTGGTAAACATGGTATCTGACGAAGATTGCAGTTTTGGGTGCACTACAGTGCAGTTACTTATTATTCAGGCAGTCAGCTGCTGTGGCCACTCAGCCACTAAATCCCCTCGCTCACCCTCAGTAAAATGCATTAGTTCAGCAAAACCTCCATTTCCAAACGCCTGTAATGCAGGCACCCCCTCCACAGGTGGTGAGTAGGCATCAGATCCAACACTCACTATGGGACTTGGAGCAGTCATCAGCTACTGACCCAGAAATGGGCTCAGCTGTTTATTTGCATTCAAACAATTGTGTACTGCGGGGACATTTCTGAAGAGGGGAGGGGAAGGGTGCATTAGTCTGCTAATAGCTCTTGTGACAACAATGAGCAGTGGGCCAAGTATTCCAGCCCTCTTAATCTGAAAGAATGCATTACACACGATCTGCTTTCATTGTGCCTAACAACGTCCGATTCGATCACGCTTAATGCTGAAAGATTTCATTTTTAACAAAAAGCCTATTACACTCATCTATCAAGTCATCAGAATATCCTGCAGCCCTGAGCTCAGTGCAACAGAAATGTGCCTTAAATTGTGCTCTGAATCCAGGCGTGATAAATATGATTACTCTGATCTCCTTTTATACAGCTTCTTGCAGGAAGAGTTCCTGCTTTGATCTGAAGCGAGCAAGACTTGTCTCACACTGGGGAAAGCCTGTTAAAAAAGGGCATGTTGGGAGGGGCTCTTGTTATACTCACCCCTCCTCCCCTATCAATGGGTTATCAATGGACACACTGTTACCGAAAGGGACCTTTAGGGTCTCCTGGGGGATTTTTCAGGTAGGCTTATGGCTGCTCCAAAATCTCCACCAGAGTTATGTTATCCTGCCTCATTTCAAAACCAAACTTGCGCTGCCATTAAGTTTTTACAGTAAATCTTTACAGTGAACATCTTCTTTTAAAAACAGGGAGGGATTAATGCTGCTCTAGACCAGTGTACAGATCAACAACAAGAATAACAAGTCAGAAATTGCATTGACTGTATATAATACCTTTCACATCAGGAGGGTGTCCCAAGGTGCTGCACAGTCAAAGGTTTTCACCTGAGCTGGGGGTTGGATTCAGGAGGGAAGGGGCGCAAGGGGGAATGGGGCTGGGGTAGGGGAATGAACAATGGCATGGTCAATCTATAGCAGTCACACTACCAGTCACTATAGAGCTGTACAGATCAGCCGACACTATATAGAGTGGATAGCAGCAGGGTCTGCAGTAGAGGAGGGGAAAAAGTGTCTCATAAACATCCCCATTTGCTTTAAGATTTATAACCCCTTGAAACCAGGATTGAGTCTACTTAAAGCTATGTCCAAAGGCTATTTGTTACACTACTGCACCTCCTCCTGAATTGCACAGCATTGGAGACTGGAGATCTTTACACATAAAGTATTGTACATAACAATAATCCTTGCATTTGATATGGTGCCTTATCATGTCATCGAGATAGCTCAGAGGGCTTCACATGATTTTACCGTGACTGAGTACTTTGAAATACATTTATTTTGAAATACTGTACATTGAAATGAATGATCACTCTCATACAATGAACTCACTTGGATAAAAGATTTGCATATTTTATGTTTGGGTTGTTGCTTAGAAGGAAGGAAATTAAGAGGAGCCTCCAGCTCTCCACTGACTTGATGACTTTATTTTAATCTCAAGAACAGTGCTGTGCGGTCTGTCTGATCAACCCAATTAGTGCTGGTTATATCAGAAGACCAAATGGTGATAAAATATGTAAATAAATGACTGCAAAGGAATTTGAGGATTAAACCCTGATGCAAAAAGTTAGTTTATAGATGTAAATATACTCATTTAACATGGTTATATTTAAATAAGAAATAATAGGACAAAAATTAAGCCTTTTCGGTACTCATTCAATTAAGAAGGTTGTAAAAAAAAGGTTGAAGGGACTTATGTCAAATATAAGAATGAATGTTATTTCTTGAGAAATTTCTGGATACTCTAAAATGCTATATGGAATAAACTTAGACCCATTTCTCCCCATATATTCTTCCTTTTAAAATCTTTATTCTTCACCCACAAAACACAGTCACTACACTTTACAGTGTATCCTGTGAAGCTCCTTGGGATGTCCTCTGATGTGAAAAGTGCTCTGTCAAATGTAAGGATTATTATTAGTTTATTAATAATAAATTCCCTATTATATGTACTGAGTTATCCTGGCTCCAGCTTATCCCTGCAGGTACAAGTCACTCAATCCTCAATCACTGGAAGTCTGAAGGGAAGCAAGGGTTTGGAATCGTAAATTGGCCTACATTCCCATTGAACAACTAATTAAATTTTATTGTTGTTGTGAGCCTTTTGGTGCGAGCATTGGCACTCAGTCTGAGATTAGCCACTGTGCCTAGCTTCATCATTGAACATGAATTCAAGATCATTAATCACTCCCTTAACTGGATGTGTGTGTGCCAGGAACAGGGCTGCATTTAAGAAGAGCATCGCTCTGTACACGGTTGTTTTTACAATTTCATTGCATTTGGGTCTTACAAGAAGTGAGGAAAACATTTACAACTGATGTGAAAGAATCCGCTCAGGTTTTCTCACTGAAGACAGTCAGTGCTCCGTGGTTCCCTGCAGAGCATCCTCTACACTGGCAACTATGGCATCAATTAACAGATTCCAACTTTAATCCAATTTTAGTTCTCTGCTTCCTGGAGGAGTGTAACTGGCTTTATATAGGCAGCTGTTAAAGCTCAGGTCTGGGTTCTTTCTAACTCTGCTGTTGTAGCTCATTAACTGGTATGCCAAATAGTCCAGCTGTTAACATAACAGCAAGGAGAATGTTATTAAGATTCAGACTGATAGCAAGATGGTCTCGGCAGCAGGCCTTCATCTAATTCCCTTCAATTTGATTTTTAAGAAAGGTAAAATATACTAGGGGGGAGCGGAAGAGAAAGAATGGGGTAATCCCACACACACACACTCCTCGAGGAAGAGGGGGTTTGCTACATACACTGACCTTGAAGCCTACAGAGGTCCAGACAGTCTGTGCTCACTACACAGAGAAGAAAAGTCTAATTAAGTTTTCCTGGTGTAAGCAAACTTGCCATGCTTCAGTGCGTCCCAAACCACAGTTGCAACTTGTGCTGTTTAACAATATCAAAGGCTAATTTGCACAAGGACCACATACAATCTCTGCACAGGCAATTTAACTTGCTGACTCTAGCTGTGTTGTGCCGCATTTGTTGGACAGTATATGACGTGATAATGATCTCTGATGTTGTTAGTTACTTCATGGTCAAACTAGACTTTCATTTTCACCAGTCTTCATGATTTTGCCATTGTTTTGTCTGAAGCCAGTCAAGTTCTCAACGGACCAACCAACCTTGTTTACATTGACTGTGTTCGCTGCCTTTCAGTCCCACTGCATTCTAATTGAGTTAGTTTATCAATATTGATTCTCTTCTGACTAGGTTGTAAACCGATGTTGGAACCCATACAGTCCAGGCTGACATTCCAATGCAGTGCTCGGGGTACGCAGCATAGTTGGGAGGTACCATCTTTTGGATGATCCGCTAAACTGAGGTCCTCTCTGCCAATCCAAGTGGATGTTAAAGATCCCACGGTACTATTTAAAAACAGAAAGGAGTTTCTCATGGTGTCCTGGCAAATCCCCAAAATAAAATTGGTCAGCTGCAGGACATGGCTGTTTGTGGGATATTGCTGTGCGCGTATTGCTGCATTTGCCCACAAAACACACAGTCCCTACACTTCACAGTAAAATCCTAGGAAGCGCTTTGGGACATCTTGACAAAATGATAAGGTGCTATGTCAAATGCAAGGATTATTATTATTATAGCATTACTCGAATCTTGGTATTTGCATGAACAGAGATGAAGTGCTGGAATCGTACCTGTGTTCATTCTCTTCTTAGGGGACTTGAGACTTCTGCACCTTCCTATAACCGAGTTGCCATTCTCGCTCATGGAGTCCTGTGCCGAGGATGCGCTCCCCGTGGCCTCGCTGTCCCTGATCATGCTCTCATATCCACTGCTCCCACCACTGTGGTAAAAGAGGGCTGTCTTCCCCATGGCTGGAGGCAGCTCCCCACTCAGAACGCTGCTGTTGTCACTCCCGTGGCCGCTGCTGCACCGATGGGGTTTACGGGGTGGCGTGATCTTACTGTAAGGTGAAGGAAGCACCTGCGGAGGGCACTTCTCCTCGCCAACGTGTGAGCCTCGCTCGTCCGTGTCTGTGGTCCCTCTCAGGTGAGTGGCCCTGATTCCAACGCTCCCTTGGAGTAACTCGGAGATACGTCCGTTGACAGCTCGGAGAGGAAGCTTGGCAACCACACTGGAACCTCTGCTTTGCTTGCTGCTCAGGGACTGAGTTGACCAGGACATGTTCTTGGAGTTCGGTGGCATGCTGGAGCTGCGGCCCACTGACTGGGGCAAGGATTTGGTGGAAAAGCTCAGCGTCTTTGTGCTGGATGCTGACAGGCTACGTGACTTGGGACTCGCCAGGAGCAGCTTGCTGACGGCTGACATTTTCGAGGTGCTGGACTTTGGAGAGACGGCCACAGGCAGGGATGCCCCCGAGTTCACAGGCGAAGACATGGCACTGCGACTCAAGCTTCTGCCTGTTCTGGGCATCGTGCTGTCCCTGCACGCACTGACCTTGGAGCCTACGGAGGTCAGGCTCTCTGCCCTTTCCAATGATAAACATTCATAATGTCCTGTGTAATTTCTGCTCAGAGAGTTGGTCCTGCTACTGAACTGCTCACTTTTCCCACTGCTTCCTTTACTGCCCTTGCCATTGCCACTCATGTCGTCTAGTGTTTTTGCCAGCGATGGCCAAGCTTGACTAGAGGTGCTGTTGCTGCCAGCTCCGTGCTGCGGACTGGCTCGGTTTCTCTGATCCAGGCTGGACTTCCTAACCGGAGGCAGTGGGGGTGTTCCCTTAGGTCTGCCCAGCATCGTGTGTTTGGGAGAAGCTACTCTTCTCTCCAGTGTGTTCCGTGGGCTACAAGGAGTGGAAGCCTGTGAGGTAGCAGCGGACCCACTTGTGCTTTCTGTCCCAAGGCACAGAGACCTCAGTGAGATACTATCGGGGTCATCCTGTTTGCCCAGCAGAGCGTGCTGCAGGCTCCTGGGCAGACTGCCGTGTTTCATGCTCTCGGTGGAGTAAATGGAGCTCTGACTGGTGGAGGTGGGCAGAGACATTTCACAGCCATCCACAACCCTCTTCATGGGGTCGGTGTGGACAGGAGAATCGGCAGTTTCACTGCTGCCGGCACTGAAGCTGTCCGCGGAGCTCTGCTTCCGGCTCTGGCCAAGGGCGGCTGTGCCCTTCGCCACCTTGTGGCTGCCGTCCAAGCTGACGTCATCCACACGTTTCAACCAAGGGTCGTCAAACTTCATTTCCCTTGCATAGCAGTTGCCGGGAGGCTCGGTGTCACAGTGATGAGAAAGCACGGTGGCAGACTTCACAGCCGAAAACACTTCATTCTGATCCAAGTTGATGGGCTTTATTGTGATGCAGGGGTGAACCGAAATGTTCGTCTTGATGGGGAAACAGCCATCGGCGCTGGTCAAGCTGGAGGCGTTGGATATTCTAAGGGTGGTCTTCCCCAGGGTGGAGATCTTGCAGTTCTTATTGGAGGTCATTTTATACAAGCTTTTGGCCTCACTGGCTCTCTCGGGCACCGCAAACAAATTGTCCACCACGGAGTATTTCTCGTTCCCCAAGTACGTCACGCAGTCGTCCTGCAGCTCCACGGGCTCGTCCAGCATTGAGGGGTCTGCCAAAGCCTCGCCATTGCCACCGCAGGTCTGAGCCACAAAGCTGTGACACGACTGCTCTCCGTCACTGCCGGTGCTCATCTCACTCAGCCAGCTGCTGATGGAGGAACGTCTGCTGGTGGAAACCAACACCTTCTCATCCAGGCCTGGCTTGGGGAAAGGCAGGAATTTGGTGATGCTCACTTCGGAGAAGGGTGACGCATTTGCGTAGCACTCGAGATCCTCGTTGATACTGCTGATAATGCTGACAGGCCTGGAGCCCGAGGCCAGGGCCTGCACTGAGCAGTCACTGTTAAAGCTAATAATGCTGGTCGGGCGTCCGTTCTCCAAGATGCCGCTGATCGTCAGCTCCTCGACCAGTGTGAACACCAGCTCATCCTCCCCATTCAGCTCCAGGGGCTGCTGCAGGGTGACGGTAGCTGTAGTCATCATATCCTTCGTTGGATCTGCTGTAACCTCCTGATCCTGGTCGGAGAAGAGTAGGTCCTCAGAACAGCCACTGCCAGAAGACACTGATTTCTTCATTGTTTGGGGACTCATTCCAACGGGGGCAGTTCGGATTTCAGACTGGTGCAGTGTTTCGTTTGGCGTCTTCTCACCATCCTTGTGTACAGGCTGAGCTGGAGCAGTGCTGGGTAAGGATACCTTTTGCGTGTACACTTTACAGCGCTGGGAAGGAGAATGCTGGGGCTTATATTCCGATGTCTTTGAAAGACTTGCTATGCCTAGTCTTGGGGATCCCATAGGCCTTGGTTTAGCTTCCACAGCAGCACCACCACCAGGGGCTTCTTTGACGCTCTGTACATTGTTGGCCTGTGCTCTCGGTGAGTTTGGTTGGGTGTTACTGTTCCCCATGACACTCCGAGGAGAAGGAGGTGCCGAGTTATTACTTCCTATTGGAGCAGAGGACTGGGTTCGGGCAGGAATTTCTTCCTCCGTTTTCTCCACATCAGTCCAGTGGCTGGGTATCAGGTTGTCCATGTTGCAATCCTCTGCTAAGTGCTGGACCTCAGCATCCTGAGATTGCACTTGCTCGTATTTAACTGACGGGTCTGCACCCGTCAGTGTAACCGGAAACTCTTCGAATGGAAACTTGTTCGGTTCCTCGCTGCCGTCAATGCACTCAAGTCGCTCTTGGAGCTCTGCAAAGGTGTTGCATTTAAGGCAGTCTTTCTCAGGGTGGGCGGATGTGGGCTCACTGCTGTTTTCTGGCTTTACCTCATTTTTATTCTTCTGCAGCGAGGGGATAATGGGCACAAAGTCAGGCGGCCCTTCATTGTCGGTCAGCTCCTTGTCTGAAAGAGCAGTGCCATTTGGGCCGACGTAAATAACAGTGTCACATGACTGCTCGCTGCTAGAGGAGTAGTCTGGGTCACTTGAAAGGTTTAGGATGGGAAGATCGGGCTCTACCGCTCCCCTCGGGTGGAATGGTCGGAGTTGTGTTGGCCTACGCATTCTCCCTTCTTCACAGGAACTCTCTCCACCAGATGAACTGGAAGTATACTGTTTATATAGAACAGAAGGAAGATAGTCAACACCATGCACAAAGCCACAGTTCCTGGATTGTATACTGAATGTACAATTATATTGTATAATCTGCAACTCCCTGCCTCAGTCCCTCAACCTCACCACTCTTTACCCGACTTCAAATAGCACTAATTGACCACGCCTACAGTCACCTCCCCTTATCTCCCAGTTTAGCATCAAACTTATTCAGCACTACAGTTATCCTGTGTGAAGGCCGCTATATAAATGCAAGTACTTAGTGTTGTTATTGAATGTACAAAAACATTAGTACTTTATTCACATTGGCTCACATTGGAATGCAGTCAATGTTTCCAAAAAGCAAAACAGGATTTTCTGACAGAAAAGAATACTTGCTCTGAATAGCAATAGCTCCCTGTCTAATAATGATCCAAACCTTTGCACAGGCAGTAAATTGGCCTGACAGGAGTGCTATGCCTTAATTGGCAAAGATCTGTGGTCAAACTACGAAGACAGCTAGTCGAACCACCAGCACATTGCCCATTAAAAACAAAGTTCATAAAAACACTAAAGTTTATTTTAGTTTATTAAAGTAGATCTATCTGTAGCAATTAGAGTTAGATGGGCACCGATATCCATTGTACCAAATATTTTATTTAAAAAAATCTTTTAAGATTGCTTTTAAGATATTTTAAATTAATAATTGGAGTCCTGTAGCTCAGTGGTTAGAGCACTCGCTTTGCAAGTGAGAGACCTGAGTTCAATTCCAGGCAGAGGGCGAAACCTTGGGCAAGTTTCCTTACTCCACACGCCTAATAATAATCCCTTCAAAAACCAAAAACAATAATTAATTGGTCATTTTCAATCTACGACTGTTTGTGGGACATTGCTGTGCGCAATTGGCTGCCGCGTTCGCCCACAAATATACAGTCAATTCACTTTGCAGTATCTTCTGTGAAGCGCTTTGGGACGTCCTCCCGACGTGAAAAGCGCTATATCAAATGCAAGGATTATTATTATTATTATTATAATTTAGGAGTGCCATACTATGTAAAGAAAGCATACATGACATAACATTTGGACAAAAATGTGTTCTTAAATTGAACATGTTTAACATGGAATAGCTTAAAAGAACTATCAGGGTATAATTTGGGTTATTTCTTAGTATAATTCATTAATAAGGAATGTTAAAATACTAGGATGGTTAGGATGGCAATAGAAAACAACACTTCAACTAAGCACATTCCAAGTAAAGGGTAGTTTTCGGGTGCAAAAATCAATAAAGCTAATGGGAAGCTGGACTGTTGTAACAAGGCATTTGGAATATAAAATCAAGGAGGTGAGACTGGAGGGTAGAGTCCTGGCTAGACTTAATTTGGAGTATTGTATACAGTTATCGTAGGCTCATGAAGGCTGTACTTGTCTTGGAGGGTTTCGTTGACAATTCACTAGATTAATCCCCAGAATAAAGGAGATAAGCTATAATGAGAGGCTGGGTAAATTTTGTTTATCAAGTTGGATATCTGGATATGGTTATTCCAGAGATTCTGCACTCTCAACTCAGGTTCCCAGTCAACCCTGTGAAGCACTTTGTCATGTCATCTTTCATGAAAGGCACCAGATAAATGTAAATTATTGCTGTTGTACATTCCCTAGAGCTGAAGGAGTTTAAGGGGTGATCTGATTTCGGTGTTTAAAGTAATGAGGGGAATTGACCAGCGAGATAGAGACCATGCAAACTGTACACATTCCAAAACAAGGAAACATAATGTCAAATTTAGACCGTTGACCAATTAGAAATTAGATTAGAAATTCTTTTTTCCCTTAAAAGAGTTGTGAAAAATGTAGAATGCTTTACTGCTGAAGGCAGAATTAAGTTGGGATGTTTAAAAAGGAGATAAGATTCTTGGGAAGAAAGATAATTAAGGGAAATGGAGAAAAGGCATAGTAATGTGATTAAAAGAATTGCCATGATCTAATAAAATGGTTAGATACAATATAATACAATTTACATTTATACAGTGTTTTTCACATCAGGAGGACATCTCAAAGCACTTAGATGGGTTGAATGGCCTCCTCCTATTTCTATAATAATAATAAACTGTTCACATCAGACCGCTGATCTCCATCTAGAATACTGTTTCTTTATAGCCTGGATGGTCTTTCCTTGCTCTAAGCTTTCCCACGTTGTTGTGGGAAGACAGAGGCCCCTCTTTGACTCAGTTTTTGTGTGCCAAATTCCAAAATTTGTGACCTGGTTTTGATGTTGCTAGCTCAATGGATCAATTGATATTGAACAGTTGTAAAATGCAGCCTACTCTGCTATAACAAAGCACCATTACCTGCTGAAAATAAAAATGAAAATAAATTGTGGGTTGCCTAGGATGCCATTAGACTTGTTGAGACAAATTATGATAAATGTCTGCTATTTAAAACAGCTCCCAACAACTTACACTCCAAAGCCTTTGATTTATTACGGTCCTAAATTATGAAGCATTGAGAGCTTAAAACTGCCATTTTTTTAAAAGCTAATTTGCTCACTGGCATTAACTCCAAAGATGTCTTCTGGAGAGTTTTGGTGTTCAGGCAGTTTCTGACATTAAACCTGGACCAAATAGCTCAGTGGGTGAATACACAATGCATTTATCCACTCTTACCCGCACCAAACCTTGATATCAGCAACTACTCTAATTGGAAAAATCACTTTATCACTTAATACAGTTCAGTACAACACACCAAAGGATATCTTAATATTATATACACTGTAGAGAAAGTTATTTTTTGATGAAATAACAGAGAGGGTGGATGAAGGTAGTGCAGTTGATGTAGATTATATGGATTTTCAAAAGGAGTTTGATAAAGAGCCACATAAGAGACTTGTAAGCAAAATAGAAGCCCATGATATTAAAGGGACATTGACCAGCGAGAATTAAGCATGGATACAGAACTGGCTGGGAGACAGAAACCAGAGAGTGGTGGTGAATGGTTGTTTTTCTGACTGGAGGAAAGTGTACAGTGGTGTCCCCCAGGGATCAGTATTGGGACCACTGCTGTTTTGGTCTATATAAATGATCTGGACTTGAGTATAGGGAGTACAATTTCCAAGTTTGCAGATGATACTAAGCTAGGAAAAGTAGTAAACAGTGAGGCGGATAGTAGCAGACTGCAAGGGGACATAGACAGACTGGTGAAATGGTCAGATATGTGGCAGATGAAGTTTAATGTGGAGAAATGTGAAGTAGTGCATTTTGGGAGGAAGAATGAGGAGAGGCAATATAAGCTGATGGTACAATCTTAAAGGGAGTGAAGGAACAGAGAGATCTGGGGGGGGGTTTCATATTAGTAAATCTTTGAAGGTGGCAGGACAGGTAGATAAAGCTGTTAAAAAAAACACACGGGATACTAGGCTTTATAAATAGGGGTATAGAATACAAAAGCCAGGAAGTTATGATAAACATTTAGAAAGCACTGGTTAGGCCTCAGCGAGAGTTCTGTGTTCAGTTCTGGGCACCACACTTTAGGAAGGATGTCAAGGCATTGGAGACGGTCCAAAGGAGATTTGCCAGGATGGTACCAGGAATGAGGGACTTCAGTTATGCGGAGAGGCTAGAGAAGCAAGGATTATTCTTCTTGGAGCAGAGAAGGTTAAGAGGAGAGTTAATAGAAGTTTTCAAAATTATGAGGGGATTCAATAGGGTGAACAAGGAGAAACTATTTCCACTGGGGGGTGGGTCAGTAACCCGAGGACACCAATTTAAAATAGTTGTTAAAAGAAACAGAGGAGAAATCTTTGCCTGAAAGGGTGGTGGAAGCCGATTCGATAACAACTTTTAAGAGAGACGTAGACAATTATTTGGGGAGGTCAAGTTTGCAGGAATATGGGGAGTGAGGCCAGGAAGTGGGATTGAATTGGGTAGTTCTTTTCAAAGAGCCGACACAGACACGATGGGCCGAATGGCCTCCTTCTGTGCTGTATAATTCTATGATTCTATGAAAGATGTTAATGTGGTTTAGTAATATCGCTAACCTTTAACATTAGGCAGAACTAAAATGTTTAGGATACACATCTCCCCATTATATTACTTATAGTTTATGTAATATGCTATTTAATATTATTAATATCAAGTGACAAGTTGATGTTTCTCATTAATATCTTTGCTAAGGACTGGGTGAGAGTGGTACAGTACAGTGGTACAGGGACACAGGTAAGACTGGCAATAGTGCATTGCCATATCTGTTATTTCTGACATTGTGACACTAAGATTAAAGTACAAGAGATTGTTTTCTCTAAAAAAGACAAAAATCAAATATTTGAAAAAGCAAACTATAAAAGGGGATGGGGAAAAAGCCAGGGGAGTGGGACTGCATGGAGAGCTCGGGCAGAGAGGCCTGCATAGACACAATGGACTCTCCGTACTGTAAAATGCTCTGATTTTATGAAGCGGAGAGATTTGTCAGATTAACCTCATTCCTTGAAAGTACTGCTCTAGGATTTGTTAATTCCAGGGAATTTCTTGGACAGCAGACTGGCTGAGTGAACCTGCTGTTTTTACCCTTCATTTCAATATCAGTTACATACACATGCAACTCACCTGTTAAACGTGATGCACTAATTTCAAGGCACAAATTTCAAGGCAAGTTTACTGATCTAATTTCTAATCGGTTTATGCTCTAATTTTAAGATTATGTTTCCTCGTTTTGGAATTGTACAATTTGCATCCCTCTGTCTCGCTGGTTAATTCGCCTCATTATTGTGCACAAGGCTAGACTGGAGGATTCATATATACCAGAACATAAATACAAAAGATTTAATTTGAAATATACATCAAAAACAATTTCAGTATTTGAAATCGTATTAAGTATAATTTTGTTTCTCCTTTTTTAAGGCAATGAACCGGTCCTGTAACACTGGTCGGGCACACATGTGTTTGGATATCATCAATGAGGCTAAGGGCTGAGTCTCCCCTTTCACGACGTGAGGAGCAGCCTGGCTGATTTACTGTGCATCGCATAATAATGGCCTGGCTCAGATCAGGATCTTGGTGAGTGGGAATAGGGTTGAAGCTTGCCCCAATGTCATATGAGGTTCCAATCCCTTACACTATACAATTTTTTTTCAGATGGGTGTCTGACACATGCAGAAATCCATCACCATGTTTAAGGGTATCCAAACTAAACCAAGATTTCCATGCATTCCACCTACACATGGAAATTCCAGAGATGTTTATTTGAATGGAATGCGCACTCTCTCTGTGGAGGGATGCATCCTGCTTACCTAATTCCAGAGAGTATTAGGTGCAATAATAATAATAATAATCCTTGAATTTGATATAGCGCTTTTCACGTCGGGAGGACGTCCCAAAGAGCTTCACAGAATACACTGTAAATTGAATTGACTGTATATTTGTGGGCGAACGCGGCAGCCAATTGCGCACAGCAATGTCCCACAAACAGTCGTAGATTGAAAATGACCAATTTATTATTGTTTTGGGTTTTTGGAGGGATTATTATGAGGCGTGTGGAGTAAGGAAACTTGCCAAAGGTTTCGCCCTCTGCCTGGAATTGAACTCAGGTCTCTCACTTGCAAAGCGAGTGCTCTAACCACTGAGCTACAGGACTCTACAGGTGCAAGTTGGCAGAAGCCAAGGGTTAGGGACCCAGGAAAGTGCGTTGGGGTACTGCTAAAGTTTAAACAACTAAAACATAGCTTGCCATTGATATGGCATTCTGGCAAGCTTTCCCATTGCTTGTCCAGCAAGAACCACCCTACCTGTTAGGGCTTTGGCTGGCAGTCACGAGGAGTTGTGTATGGTCTTTCCTTCTAAATCCCACTGATGAGCTAGCTGAGTTGTCAACAGCAGTGCCCTGGAGCACTATCGATTGGCCTGGCTCAAGAACTGGACTACAGATACCCACCACAGAGGGTGGGCTCGATTTAGACATTCTGTTGCCAAACATGTCGTCTTAGAGCCAGTTCAGCTCCGAGGAGACCCCACTTACCTCCCACCAAGGAGGATAGAACTACAGTATACAATTAGAATAGAGGGTGCTTTACCTCAGTTGGCTGTGCTACACCCAACCTAGGAATGCTTAGCGTTGTCAATGAATTACTAAATGGGCGTGTTCTATTTCCCAGCACTAACATCCGTCACCTGGATGTGTACAGAATTCACCAAATGCCGTAAAGTCTAAATCTTAAATTTTGACTTCAGACAGTTAGAAGTCAAGTCGGAAAACATTTCTTCACCCATAAATACGGCTGTGAGAATGTGGAATGCGTTGCCTAAGAAGTCCGTAGATTAACTGGGATGTTTAAAAACAAGATATAGTAGAGCCCTGCTATAACATACTTTGTTATAATGCGGATTTGCTTATAACATCCTGTGGACCCATAGCTGGCTTGCTGAGGATGGCTGGCATGTTTTAGTGTGTAGAAAATGTCATGTGATCAGTGATATCACAGGAATCTCACCAACCTTTGTCTTTTTCTTCTTCATCCGGAGAACTCGTGAAGCGATCTGGATGGTGGAAAGCGTCTCTGAATAATGACTGGAGGAGGCTGAGATGTGGGCGATCATGGTTGTTCGGCAGTTCAGGTTCCCCAGGGATTCCCGCAGCAGCATTGTGAGCTTGCTTTCTCTAAAAAGAGCAAAACACCAACACAGCGTGAGGCCTGGGAGGAATCCTGCTGTGCTGCACTGATACTTAAACAGGCATCTCCTGAGTTCTCCATCCCAGCGATAACCAATGGGTTTGAAGCTTCATTCGCACCCAATCTCACTTTTTTATACAGCAACAACACACAGGCATTTTTTTATAATGTTTGGGCAGAGTTCGTGCATCTATGTTAAATATTGGGGCTGACAAAGCATACGTTCACTTGTAGCTACTAATGTGTGCTAACAGTGGGAATCCTGTTAACAAATATTTGTCCACTGAACTATGTTTGGTGGGCAAACTCCACTTTACAATGTATCTTGTAGAACTTTGCAGTTCTGATCGTGTTCATTGTGTCAATGTTGGTAATTCTGATCACTGACCACTGACATGGAATAATAAACTGAAGATTGGTCAACTATTCAGATTTAATTGGGTCCACCAGCTTTTCATATTTTCTCCAAAATTTAAGAACGTGACATTAATTTGACTCCTGCTGGGAAAAAAAATGTGTTCATTAAAGTGATAGATATTTGCGCTTGGGAAATGGGCCATCCACTACCAGGACCTGGCACTCCAGGTCAGGAACAAGATAGTTAGATGAAGAATAAAGCTCTCGATTCTTCCCAACAACATTCCTCTGACTGTAAAGCAACCCCTAATGTGAATATAGCATCTAAATTGCAACGCTGAGTTTCAAATTCACGATTTTGAGATTCCAAAAAGAGTTTGCCCATAAATAGTCACTACACTACATAGTAAATTCTGAGACATTTCAACAGTGTGAAAATGGAGGTTGTGTGTACAGTTCAGAGTTCATTCTGTTTGAACGTCTACTTTCTCTAGTTTCCCTTTGATCTTCTGACTGTTGAAGAATGACTTTGGTTGGAACACCTACCGTTGTCTCCAGTCCAGAGTCAGCCGGTTTATCCCATGCTTTACTGTAGACAGATGATTCATCTTTGTTCGACCAAACTACTTCCTATTCATTCCATTGTGCAGAGCTCTTGATCCAAGTTTAGCTCTTGAAAAGCAAGTCCTGATCCAATTCTGTGTTTTTTAATACTCAGCAAGTCACTGCTAGACATGACTTGCAGACAGCAACTTGTTTTAACAGTCAAATAATTTCTGGGTAATATGGATATTTTTAGAGCGTGTTGGTGGTTTGGGGTTTGCTTGAATTCCTGAATGGATGATTAAATGGACTGTGGTCCGATAATCTTGCCAATGAACCAACCTTATTCAGTTTATAAATATCCTGATGCAACTCCGCACTGTTCAAACAAATGGTCATGTTAATAGCAGCTGTCAACTCCATTTAATATGTTTGAACTAAATTAGGATTAAAGAGTTTCCATGTAATTATCTTTTGAAAGCGAGCCTATATTAACAGCTGAAGGACATTATACACAAAGGATTCCAGGAATTTTAACATGTAGGAGAGACAAGGCCTAATTTGCAATATTTCTTAACTAAGTTCCTTAATAAGGCAGGATTGATTCCCCATTGGCACAACTATTGTTCCTTATGAAAAAATTCTGTGGCAAAATAGTGCAAATTAGACCACAAAGACTCAAATTGAATATATTCAATACTATATGTATCTACATACCATATTATATGTGTGTATAGTGTGTTCAGTACATACTGTAATATGTCTCCACATAATAATAATAATCCTTGCATTTGATATAGCGTTTTATCACGTCTTCGAGACGTCTCAAAGCGCTTCACAGAATATACTGTAAAGTGAATTGACTGTATATTTTGTGGGCGAAACGCGGCAGCCAATTGCACACAGCAGTGTCCCACAAATAATCATCAATTGAAGTGACCAATTCATTTTTTTTGTTAAAGAAATTATTACCCCTGGAAAAGCGATCCGCCAATTGACTAATAGCCAGGTTCCTACTTACTGCTAAGTAAACAGAGGTGTGTAAGCAAACTTGCCCAACATTTTGCTCTGCCGGGAATAGAACCCAGGTCTCTGACCACAGAGCTACAAGACTCACACATATGTACTTACTATATGTCCATACATTCTATATATCTGTACACACTATACTATGTTTAATACTTACTGTACTTCCATTGTTGAAATGTTGATTAGTGACTTGGATTATATTTTATAACTTGTTCATATTGTAATGAGAAGTGATAATGACTGCCCGCCCTCCCTCCTTTGTTAATTATTTTACGTTTATTTTAAAGCACAATATCTGACAGCTGGGATGGTCAGTCTGCCCATCTTCAGCACTGATCCAATATTAAAGGACTCTGCATACATACCACAACATATCAAAACATGTTACTGTGTAGCTTGCTCGTCGCACTTTGCTCTGGTGATTCTGCAAATGTTCAATGCTTTTTGTCTTCATTTCTGCAATTAGTCTACAACCTACGCAGCTTATAAAAAGGTGTACTTCATTTCAAATCTTATATAAAGAGAATTCAATTAAAAAAGGGTCTGGATTTCTTTTGCTTAAAACCGTATTCTTTGTTTGTTAAACTACATTGGATCCTGGTCAAAGTTCCAAATAAGCTGAATTTTTAAAAATAATTTTGGGGAAAAAAGTTGCTAAAGCTTCCACATTTTCTTGGGAGATGCTTTTGATGTCAGGGACCAGATGAGATTTCAGGCCTACGGTGTGCTTCCTGTACAGTGGCAAACAAGGAGCAGGAGTGCTTACTTGTAGGGGATGTGTTTGGTGCCATTGACGAGAGCGAGAATAACATTTCCCAGCGCTGACAGAGAGAGGCAGAGCCCAGAGCCTCCCTCACGACTTTTGCTCAGCACTTTTACGCAGCTTCCCAGGTCAATGAGGTGTAAGCGGCTGCGACCTCCTGACACTGCCGCAGAAGGGGATAAAGAGATTGCATCAGTTATTTACTTGGCATTGATTTATCGCGTTAATCCCGCTGAAAGAAGCCTCCTCTATAAACCTCTCGACATGCTGATAAGACAAAGAGGCGTGCAGCTTATCATCACCAGCGTGCCCATTCACCACAACACTGTCTATTCGACGGCATAAAACAAACTCTCTGTCCTGCAGAAAAATAAACTTTTCCTTTCCTATCAAGTGGCTTTTCCAAGCCCTGAGTGATAAACAGAGGATCTGGTTTGAAACAGTCAACCATCAGCAAACCTTTCAAAATTCAATTGCAAACACAGTAATTGGAGTCAGCTTTAATGTGCATTTCTCGGTTCTTCCTGTTCAGTTCTATAGTCTTTGTCTAAACAGTGAACACTGATGATGTAATTCAGGAAATGCCTTTAGAAAAGTCACTGAGCCTATTAACATGAAGCAGAATTCAGTGCCACAAAAATCCAAACAAAATCAACAGAGGAATGAAGGGCTATAATTGTTACTAATGGTTTCTTTAATTGTTACAAAGGCTTGTTAGTGTCATTTCCAGTTTCAGATATACTGTCTATGCTGTTGCACTCTTAGCTATCACAGTCGTCCTGCCTCTATCCCTCTACCTCTCCTCCTCTTTACCTATCTTTAAATCCCATCTTAAAGCCTAACTCTTTGAACGCACCTACGGTCACCTCCCTCTCCTTCCTTGTTTAGTATCAAAGCCCACCAATGTGCCTGGCTGCAAAACGTTATCTTACATGAAGAGTGCTATATAAATGTAAGTTGTTGTTGTATTAATTTGGATCCCGTGCCTGGCAGCTCCAGTGACAGTCTAGGATGTAAGGTTACTCTGTTTCCAACACCCATTTCACCCTGACCTTCCCTGTGGGGGCTGCCAAGTTTTATTAGCTAAGTTACACAATTCAAAGGTTCACAAGTTCTATTTATTTAAATAAGGTCTCGAAGACTAAACACCTGCAAAAGCCAAAGTGAATGTTGAAATTGAGGAAATTGGAGCTCCAATCAGTTCCAATCCAGTTCCTGCCTGGTTGAACAATATTTTATTCATTTTGCAGGAGAATTTTGTTTAAAGGGAGTCTCACCATCAATATCCTATTCAAAAAACAAGGTTGCCTGGCCTCTGCTGAGCTAGCTTGATAAAATGTTTGATAAAGAGGAATATTAAAGGATATGGAGAGTGAGCAGGAGAGTTGGATTAGATTAGGTGTCTTATGTGGAGAAAAGCACCAATACATATTGGATAACCCAAACAGCTTTTACTGTGTTGTAACTTATGATTGTGTGAATTGTACAGGGTATAGACTTCAGGTGATTACCCAAAGAGCAAAGGTTCAGAGAATATTCTCTTTTCCATATTGGTTTGCTAGGATATGCAAAGTCTTATCTGAAGAGGAAATTAGATAAATATCTGAAAAAGGAGAAATGTACTGGGGAAAAGGGTATTGGGAAAAGGCCAGGAGAATGGGACTAAACAGATAGGTCTTTCTCACAGGCAGCACAGGCACAATGAGCTTAATGGCCACTTGTGCTAGAGAAAGCCTGGAACAAAAAAGCCTCTTTGGTCCGATCAAGCCTTCTTCCACAGACCATGTATAATATCAATGACTGGGGGGGGGGGGGGTGAAATTCAGCTCAGACACTCCTTTACCCCCAAAGATTACCAAGCTTCACATCTATTGAAAATTCATTTCGCTATCCGAGCCAGCCTCTCACTTACATCATCAATAAAAATATTTAAAGAGAGAATCAATAGAAGAGCCTGCAATGGGATATTAATCTCAATGAAAATGTATATATACCTACTTATTCCAGACTAATGAGCTGTGGATTATCACTAAATAAACCTGATGGAGTGCGCTGGATGTTGTAGTTGTCAGCTTGATGATGTTAAGCCTGGCCCCTTGAACTCCATAGCTTATATTGTGAAAGGGAATGAATGGACATACCCAGATCCATTTCACACAGGAGAGGCCTTCATCTCTATCAGTCTGGACTGGGTTCAAAGCCAGGTTCCAGAGGTAAGAGAAGACAGTTAATTCATTACTACTCAACTCAAGACGGAGCAATTTTGCCAAACTGCTCTAAACCTGAGAACAAAGCGAGACAAATCCCTCCACCCCCTGCCAAATCTTAGTGAAACTGTTACTCCGACCCCAGCTTACACAAGCCATACAGTCGCCTCATTCAAACTTCAATGGACAGCATTCATCTATCAGCGAAGAATGGGGTCTATTACGTGAGTTGCATAAACCTCAATGAGACCTTATGCAGGTCAAACGAGAGCACAACTCACTTCCGCCTTTGCCGCTCTTCTCCATCCGGTACTGGTATATGTGCAAAGTGAAGAGCATGTGGGAATTTCGCAGCTCCTCCTCATCACAGTCTGACTGGCTGCTGCGACGGGAGGCAATGGCGGCATCCAGGAAGAACGCTGCTTTCTCTGCTGTCGGCGCTCGCAGCTCGCTCTGGTTCTGGAGCTGAAAAACAACAATACGATGGGTGGTCATTAACTGCAGCACAGCTTTTAATAGTAATCGAGAAGCTGCTTTGCTAAGCATCTCTAATCAGGATGCTGAGTAAACACCTTCCAGCAGCTGTCGACCCAAACCTCACCAGCTATCTGATGAACAGAACATCTGCCTTCAGTGTGGTGGGAGGACCTTTACAGGGCACTTCGTAACGTGCCAGACACCTTGATATTCTAGAGGTCCAAGTCTAATGCTGTGTACCAGGCTTCCTTAACACCAGCTTCACTTACACACTGTCCTCTCCTCCCTCACTCTGTCCTCTTCACTCTCATTGTGAGGTATGTTTTACAGTGTAAGCTTTACGAAGTAATGGGGTGTTACCAGCTCTGTCCATTTCTTTGGTGCTTTTCGTCATAATCTGTCATTAGGCAGAAATGCCAGTAGCAAGCTGATTAAGCAAAGGCTACACTTGTCAGTACACCTTTGCTGCATGGGTACCGGCAGCAAAAGATGGGGAACATGGAGAGATCAGGCAAACCCAGTTGGTGAATTGAGCAGCTCCGATAATGCCCACAGGACCATTTCTCCCTTTCTTCAGAGAAATCATCAGGAATTAAAATGTGACCACAAACCAAAGGCACCATCTTAGCATCACGGCAGCCTATTGCGTTTCATAGGGAGCCTGAACGACTGAGAGAAAAGCTGCATCCTCAAGGAGGTAGATCAGTGTCTAATCCAAGAATGTTTAGCAGACAGGAAAAAGGAATTCCATTTACCAAACACAATGCATTAAACTGTGCCATGCGGCTTGCCTCTTACTTCAGGCAATGAGGAGCATTTCAGCCCTGACAGTCTGCATTAAGTGCACAATGTTGGAATAACATCTAGATGAGCTCCTCAGGGAATGAGTCTGGGAGACAGCTGGATCCCAGTTAATAACACATCACCGAGGATTCTTCCATTGAAGAGAACAGGCGCGCAAGAGGACAGCCAGGGGGTGAGCACTGTGGGATCACTGGGAATATCATAGAGACTGCAATGCCTGTGTTGTCAGATTGCTGGACATCGCTAGGATTATTCCACAATGTGCTAATTAGCACATAACACATTTTACACCCCAAAGTGCTAATGGGCAGTACTGACACTGCACTGAAGCACACTTCAGCGAAGTAACTCGTGCTATAATCAGGTTATCACGGTGGATGTTAAGATGAACTCTAGGTAATAAACTTCCTGCTACCTGCTGTGATGGCTAGATTGGTAAAGGCAATGTCCAGTGTCCAATAAACCAAGAATCAATAATAATAATATTTGATATGGTGTCTTATCACGTCTCAAAGTGCTTCACAGGCTATACTCAAAGTGAATTGAGAGTATTTTGTGGGCAAAGCATGGTCATTCTGACCAAAAACATCCCAGGTTATGTGCTGAGCTGGTGGGGGGGGTGGGGTAGCGGGTGGTGGGGGGGGGATGATGCAGATGTTCCTGATCATCATCCAGTGATTGTGGAGAGGTTGGCTGACATTGGGTGATGCAAGCTGTTCATCAGTATCACTCAGGAAAGCAGGAATAAAAACTGGGAAGGAACACATAAAAAGAAAAAAGGCCTAAATAAAATGCAAAATACTGTAGCCGCTGGAAATTTGAAAACAAAACAGAGATCGCTGAGAGCACTCAGCAGGTCAGGCAGCATCTATGCAGAAAGGAAAGTTGGATCAACGTTTTGGGTCCATGACCTTTCGTCAAAAGAGCAAAACTTGTTCAAGGTAGGCATTCCTAGAAAGCCTGTTCATTCATGTCAAAAAACTGCCAGGAAATTGATCTGTCTCCATCCTGTCATTCTTAGCTTTTCTTTTAAAAAACCTTTTTTGTCCTCATGTTTTCCCTGTTGGAGGAAACAGCGAGAGAACAGGAAAAGTACCTGCATGCCACAGATTGGGTCCTCACACAGGTAAACTCCAGGCGACTGACCATCCTGCAGACTGCCTGTAGCGACCTCGGACAGCAAGTCTTTCAGGTTTTCTTCCTTCCCCCAGACCTCGACTGCAGACACTCGCACGGAGAACCGAGCTCCTGTCTTCTCCTTCCTCTCATTTATCAGTTTGAAGAGCCACGAGATAGCACAAGGGATTATGCCGAGATTCTGCATGGAGTCATCTTTCCCAATCATGGTATATGACTTTCCTGTCATTGCACAAAATGAAACCACTTTGAATTTAAATTGGAACGTGTGACAGACTGACAGCTTCCAATACAAATTTATAAGCTTGTACAATTTTTATTCGAGTGCATTGCCTCAAAACAGAAAGAAGTGCATTTACCCTCAGAACAATTATTTAGAACTACAGTCTGTTGCAAAAGCCAAATATGCAATTGTTCCCTGTGATTGAGTGCTGGAATGTCCTCCCAGTGCTCTGAGTTTCATTCAGGGATGATTCAGAGAGCTTTGTACAGTGCGTTGCCTTCCAGTCAAAAGCATCACACATTTCAACTCTTGTTCAGTTTTAGACTGATAACAGCAGTCACTGAGAGAGACGTAACAATAAAAATAATGATCCTTGCATTTATATAGTGCCATATCACATTGCTGATTCGTCTCAAGGCACTTCACTGTAAAGTGGATTCACTGTATTTTGTAAGTGTGGAGTCCTGTAGCGTATTGGTTAGAGCATTCCCCACCAACCACCAACCACCCCATGAAAACTTTGAGGGAATGGGGACTGAAGTATGTTTAAGTCTCCCTCATCCGCCCCATCATAAAAAGCTTCTGCCGCCTATGGCAGGCGGGAGTCTCCAGCAGTCAATTTCACCTCAAACATCTTCGATGGTGCAGATGGACACCTCAAAGGTGCTGCTGCCCAGGTCAAAGATGAGGACATTTACCCCATCCAATTTAAAAAGTTTCTGCTCCCTCTGTCCCTGAGAAACTAACAGCAAATCCACTGAATCCTAACAGTTGGGTCAGTAACTAGATCTTGCTGATACTGTGTAACATGGTATTCTCCAATGGAGCCAGTGCTAAGCTATCAGTACTTGGGCTTCACTCAAATTGTGAACAGAAGGGCTGGCAGAAAATTCTGGATGCATTCATATATGCTCACTGATTAAACTATCAAATGAAAGTTTGTTGGGAAAGATTTAATGCTATTACTGCAGAATAGAAATCGCTTGTGGGACTCGAAATTGCAAGGTTTTGAATAAAGCAGAGAATTGTTTCTGGTGGATGACAGTTATATAATAGAATACAATAAAACAAAATACATTACATACTGCCTAGGAGGAAAGGGGTGGAATATTTCTCTGTCAACTGGACCTTCAATAATTTTCGTGACCTTAATTCACAATATTTATTTTCAAGTGCGATACAGTATTGTAAATCGAGAAAAGAATGATATGAAAATAATATTTATCTCAGAGTTCTGTGGTCAGTGTAGGAGAATTTGTTATAATAATAATCCCTGATTGGATGTAGTACTTTCTCACATCAACAAGATGTCTCAAAACACTTCACATGATATAATGTAAAGTGGTGTGGCTGTGTTCATTCTTCTGGGAGAACGTCTCAACCAATTTGCATACAGCAACGTCCCACTAAAACAGCCATGCAGTGAACGACCAATTTTATCTGGGGGATTGTTGGCCAGGACACTGGGAGAAACGCCCTTCTCTTTTCGAACACGTCCACCTGAACAAGCAGACAGAACTGCGGTTTAACATTTCATCAGAATGACATCTTCAATAATGCAGCACACCTCCTCCCTCCAAATAAAGTTTCAGTAAGATGGGGGTAGGCATAAGGAAGAAACTAACACACGTGGTGGAACCATATGTAAAGGTACTCAAAAAGGAGCTAGACAAGTTCCTGCAAACTTTATTAGGATTTGGGGTTATTAAGCATTTATTTATTTACAAATACATATTTATTTACAAATTTACAGTGCTTTTAGACATTTTGACAATGCGATAAGGTGCTATATCAAATGCAAGCTGTATTATTATTTATTAATAGATGATCCAATAAGCACGTCAAACAAATATTTGGCATCGGATCGATCTGAAAAATCATAAATCAAGCCTGGGGAGAGTGCAGGTTTGGTGCTTCTTTGCCAGATAATGGCCTAAAATAATTATACAACTACAAAAAAACAAAAGTTAAAAGGCTGGTCTAATGGCTAGAATTCAAGCCAAAAAAAACATTTGTAGTTTTTCTTAAGAAAACAAGAATGTGCTTGCAGGAGAAACCATTCTCTGGATATCGGAGGGATTGTTCAACCACAACTAGTCCCTCAAGTACTGGACACAAAGGAGAGCAAATACTCTTCCTATGATAATTTTCACCCACAAATGATTGTACACATTATATCTTCAGATTTCGATGTCTATCTTCTTTTACCTTTCATTGATGCACATTATTACAGGGAAGTCTATTTTATAGACATATGTTACATTAATATCTCAGTCCATATCCATGCATTACTGTAGGTAACAAAGGTCGTAACCATCCATTACTGTGGGTAACTAATTTCAGAACCAGGCATTTACTGCAGATATAACCACAAATACAAAATATTGCTTTGAGTAAATCCATTGAACTGGACTAACAGCACTAATGCGAGTGGCATGGACTAACAAATATTTTATTTATGTTTTTATTTGGAAAGTTAAAATAGTTTCCTTCAAGTTCTATTTATTGTGCAAATTAACAACAACAACAAAATTAACATTTGTATAGCGCCTTTCATGTCAGGAGGACTTCCCAAGGCGCTGGACATTCAGTGTTTCGGACACGAGCTGGGGTCGGGATTGGGAAGGGTGGAGGGCAGGGGAGGAAGGAGGAGGATCGGGATTAACCAATCGGAAAAGGCTCTGTGGTGTCTTGTTGACCCTGCTCTAATAGAGAAAGCCCAATTCTGTAAAGGTTTGTTTAGTTGCCATCGAGCACCGCCTGCAACGATCACATCAATTATAGCAATTAACCTGAAAATGAATTAGTTTTAAAGGTCCCAAGAAAATCGCTCTCACGATCATGTCCTGGGCAAAGGGAGAGAGAGAGAGAGAGTTTCATCTCAGCCGACTATTAATTGTGGACAGTTTAATCCCCGGGCTGTGTGCATGTAACTGTTTATCTAACACAGTAATTAACTGTAATGAAAGCTAGCACTAACCTAGCTTGGCATGGCCAAAACAGAACACACAGCCATCTGCGCCATTCACTACAGATTGGATGACTTCCGCTACCGTCCCTGCGCATACTTCAGCCTGTTATAAAAACAAGAAGAGTTAGTTTGATGGATGGAGAAAAACAAAAGCACCCGAAACCAAATGCTGCAAGAAAGTATGTGCTGTGTGATTGAGTATAACACAACATTAGAAACGGCTATCTTACCCACAATTAAACAGACTTCGCTGAACTGCCACAAACCTGTGAGGAATCCTGTGGGAAGACAGCATCAAAAGCAAACATCTTTGGTGGTACCAGGCCGCCTCTTTTCTGTGAGGAATTTTGGAGCCCATTAATCGATGGATCGTATAAAGTAATTTGCTTTTTACGAGGATCAACTTTAAAGAAACAGCTGGACTCAGACATATCCCCAACTGAAGCCTGGCAGATTCGCAGCATGACCTTCACCTGTCAGCAGAGAGAGAGGAAAGAATGCTACATATTAGAACCGGATAAGGGCTAGAGCTTTACACGTTTTTTTTTAATTTGCTTCAATAAAGTACAGGAGAGCCTTTCATTCAACAACATGTTTCTTCTTACTCCCCTCCCCCCACCACCCCTAGGTCTTGGCAAAAGGGGTGCACATCTGGCTTCCAGAACCCAGAGCTCTGTTTTCCCTCAGATTATTTACACCTCAAAACAAACGTGCCAGTGACTGCTGTGATTGGACTGAAGTGGGGAGGGCAGAGCCAGCTAACTGACCTGCTGCCGACTGTTTGTTTGCATATCGAATTGATGTGACATTTCATCACATCCAAAGAGTAACTGAATACACGTTCATCTGCTTGTGTCTCTGTGTGCTGAATGGCGGAGACATAGGAGAATAATAATAATAATAATAATAATAATCCTTGCATTTGATATAGCGCTTTTCACGTCAGGAGGACGTCCCAAAGCGCTTCACAGAACACACTGTAAATTGAATTGACTGTATATTTGTGGGCGAACGCGGCAGCCAATTGCGCACAGCAATGTCCCACAAACAGTCGTAGATTGAAAATGACCAATTTAATTATTGTTTTTGGTTTTGGAGGGATTATTATTAGGCGTGTGGAGTAAGGAAACTTGCCCAAGGTTTCGCCCTCTGCCTGGAATTGAACTCAGGTCTCTCACTTGCAAAGCGAGTGCTCTAACCACTGAGCTACAGGACTCCACAAATGAGTGGGAAGAGAACTTTGACACAAATCAGGATTGAGTTTATGGATTGTAGCAATGAAACAAATGAATAATAATACTTGCATTTGATCAATTAATAATTGCTTTTCAAGTCAGGAGGACATCTCAAAGTGTTTCACAGGTTTTACTGTAAGGTGTAGTGACTGTGCGATCTGTGGGAGAACACAAAAGCCAATTTGCCCAAAGCCATGTCCTAGAAACAGCTATGGAATGAGTGACCTTGGTTTAATGCCTCATTCCAAAGGACTACATTGGAGTGTCATCTTAAGACGATGTGAGTTCAAAATCCTAAGCTGGACTCTTGATTCAGAGGCACAAGTCATGCTGACACTCCATCGAGTTGAAGACAAACTGAAGTGATCTATTTTTTGAGGATCAATTTAAATCCATTTTCTTTCACTATTTTGTCTCTGGCTGGGCATACAAACATGAACAGATCAACAACACCACTGGAATAATTCCTGAATCCTTTAATTTGGTGGCTGCTTGAAAGTGAACAGTGTTTTTTTCTGCATGGTACATTTTACAGCCCAGATGTACACAGTCAGCTCTTGTAATCTGTTATTTCAAAAATGTAGCAAAGCATAGCAAAGTACAAAGTACGGTACTAATAAAATGAAACATTTTACATTTCACTCAAGCTTCCACTGCGATTAAAAGCATGCCAGAAATTGTGAGCCACAAAGCTCCTACTCACAGTTGCCTGTGTGCTCTCAATAAATGAATTAAATGTTACGGAAAAGAGGTCATTCACCTCACAAGTAGTCATTGTGGAGTCCTGTAGCTCAGTGGTTAGAGCACTCGCTTTGCAAGTGAGAGACCTGAGTTCAATTCCAGGCAGAGGGCAAAACCTTGGGCAAGTTTCCTTACTCCACACAGAGCCTAATAATAATCCCTCCAAAACCAAAAACAATAATAAATTGGTCATTTTCAATCTACGACTGTTTGTGGGACATTGCTGTGCGCAATTGGCTGCCGCGTTCACCCACAAATATACAGTCAATTCACTTTACAGTGTGTTCCGTGAAGCGCTTTGGGACGTCCTCCCGACGTGAAAAGCGCTATATCAAACGCAAGGATTATTATTATTATTATTATTATAGTACAGAGAGATTATTTAGCAAGAGATTTGTGTCATTGGTCGGGCTTGTCAAGTTACAGCAAGTTTACAGTGGATAAAATAGCGAATTTGAATCTTGTGGAGATTCTCCTAATGGTGAATTCTTCAGAAGCACAACTAACTTGCTCTCAAAAGAGGCTCTGTAACGCTCCTTGAACTTGGAGGACTGACAAAAAGAGCCTATTATATTTAACAGTGAGCGTTACGAGTTGACGCTGTTATAAATCAGAGTAATCATGGCCAGCAGTGGTGCTTCTGGCAGTAAGCATGAGTGGGCTTGTTAATTGTAGCTGGTATCTTCTAAGCTATTTAATTACAACGGATTAGTATAGAAATGTGATGTCTGAATGAAGGGAAAAGGGCATGCAGGCACTGAGGCATGAGAGGCAGTTTCTATCTACTCAATTCAATTCTTAGTTCAATGTTTGCAGTCAGTTGTGACCATGAAATATTAAATGACAGAGCCTTTTAAAGAAAGTTTCATAAGTTGGTGGCGCTGCACACAGACAATTCTCCTGATAGTTTAAAGAGATCAGTAACATCAACTGTTTGCTCCCCACCCGTTCTTATTGCCTCTTGCGCTGGAAGCCACTACGCCCTGAAGCTTTGGAAATCACCCCATCAATCCCCCCGTCTTGCCCCTCCTTCCCCTCTGTTAGATTACAACTGAAGACTTCCTGCTCGACCATGCTTACGGTCTGTTTCTCTTTCAGGTGATGTTTGATCTCCCGTGTGCCTATTCTGCTTAGTTTCTGTTTTAGATTTCCATCATTTAAGATTTTTCTTTAACTTAAAGTCTCATACAAACTGCCACACAAAAGCCATTTGGTCCATCAAGCCTACATTGGTGTAGCTCTTCCACTGAAGTTAGTTGCTATAATCATCACCGACCTGCTCTTTCCTCATACCCCGTTTTGTCATTTGTTTCTTTACCCAAAGGGGAATTAACAACCTGGAACAGGTTACAGAGAGGGAAGTTGAAGTAAGATTGCTTGATCTAAAAAGCAGCTTGATGTTGTGTTGGGAGGATGGAACAGTGGATGTTATATCGAGTGAAACCAACAAAAACAGTCCATTTCACCCAATTGGTTTGTGCCCATGCTTGTACTGCACATAGCCCCTGCACCTCCTATTCCCTGTCACCTATACCCCACTATTACCATCTCCCTCAAAAAGTATTGCGGAAGGTCAAGATCAAATGAGCCAAACAGCTTTCTTCATCCAAACCTCTCTTGGATCTTGTTCAAAAAAGAGGAAGCTACCAACAATTAACAAACAAAATTACATTTGTATCGCGCCTTTCACGTCAAGAGAACTATCCATGAGTGTAACACGCGAATACCAGGATCGTTGACGGTGGACGGGATGGACATTGGTCTTTTATCGTCCAGCAGTTCCTATGTTTCTGTGTTCCTAAGTAAATACAGAGCAAAACTCCCTCTACAATATGCCCCATTGTAAATGTAAAAGGAAATTGGAGAAGACATGGTGAGAAAAAAATTGAAAAGGAAGCAGAGATGCAACACCATATTACCACTTTGCCTAAAAGCCCAGGGGCGAGCAGCAGCAGTCTTAGGATTCAATATGAAATAAGTCTCCTCTGACAACTTAAATGAATGAGGTCTTTGTAGCTGGCTTGCAGTTACTTATTCTGCTCGTCTGGGACTTCCTCCATAATAAAAGCCTCCTGAAACATTGTAAAAATGTCTCTCTCATTTTGCACTCTTGTGCACAATCTAGAAAGAAAGTCACACTGTGTCCAGTTCATAGAGTCCAGCTGCTCCATCCATGAGAAAGCAGCACAGACAAGAGAAAATACACAGACTCCACATGTTGAGGCCATTTTGAGATAATAACTTGCATTTATATATCACCTTTTAAGCAAAAACAAACATCTCAAAGCACTTTGCAAAGTATAATTGATAGAAATTAAGTGAATGTTGTTACATAGGCAAACACAGCAGCTAATCTGACCAGCAAATCAAAATTATTGTAGTGCCATACATGATTGTGTCAAGATTGGATTTGCAAAAGTCACATGAGCAAGTCCAGCACAGCAATTTTATATCACAATCCCATTCACTCTTTAGATAATGATTTGAGGATTGCTGCATGCAAACTAAACACATGGGCAGATAGGGTTATTCTGCTCCGTGTTCTTCGTGTAACAATTTAGCTGCTGTGAGATTAAATGCTATCCTGATCCATTTGGTAAGTTTGATGAACATTTTCCCCGCTCACTTATAAGAATTTGTAATGAAGTTTTAAATTAGAAATAACTCGATCAATGTAAAATTAACTTGGAAGTTTTCAAATTGTAAAACATTTATTTGGAATGTAGTGTCAAATTAATTACATGAATTAAACAAAGCTGAATAAGTTTGTAGCTGGAGAGATAGAGCATAAATTTAGAGCATATTAATGAGGTTGTGCAAAGCATTGGTTGAGGTCCTGCTTGGTGCATTGTATATAGTTCTGGGATTAATACTACAATAATGACAGACTTGCACTTCAGAAAATACAACAAAGGTTATTTCAAATAAAATGAATTGGACAATTGAGGTGTGCAGAGATTCCTGGAGTTGGGAAAGTTTACACTGAAGAAGAGAGAACTGTGGGATGATTTTATTGCAGTATTCCTGATCTTAAAATGTAGAGACAACCTAGACTCCCTATAACTTATTCAATATGATCAACAGGGCCACAATTCAAAAGGGACAGAGTGAATAAATAATTACTTTACTCAGAGAAAGTTAGTATGAAGAACAATTTCCCTAGAAAAAAGGTGGAGACAGATATGTTGGTAGCATGTGGAGGATATTGGATTTTTTTTGTCATCAAAGGGTACGGGAAGATGAAATGTAAGATAGGGAAGAATAGTGTTCGAAAAAGAGGCAGCCAGATGGACTGGAGGTCATTTTTCCAGTCCGTCCAATTCCTATCTTGCTGAAAATAATATTAAGACCACTTCAAGTCCCTCACTGCATGGAATCCATGGAGCAGAATATCTTATCCTCTGTGTGTTTATCATACAAGCAATACAAGCAATACCCAAGGTGCTGGACAGTCTAGAATTTGCACCAAAACTGCAGGTGGTTTACAGTATAATATA